TGGCATCGGTTTTGCTCTCGTGGATGATGGAAATTGGTTCTCTTTCGGCTGCAGATGTCAACAACATCGCCCTGAATGCAACATGTAAACTCCGTTTCAAAGCCCATGCTCATCTAATGTTCTCTCTCTCTCTCTCTCTCTCTCTCTCTCTCTCTCTCTCTCTCTCTGGCCTTTGGCCAGGCCGTGGCTTTCAGAAGAATGAGGTCAGGTTCTCGCCCCCCCCAGCACCAGATGCATGTCTCGTTGGTAATTCAACCCCAATAAACTCCCAGTTCATTCCATTATATGGGCTACTGCAAGCAGCAGATGATGTACAAATTGGCCGTGAAAGGTCGTGCGAATAAGGGTAAGTTTTAACAGAATCCGCGGGGATCAAACATGGTCCCTGCTGTAAGTCGGCATTGGGAACGGTTGTCGAGCGGTCGCCGTCAACAGTTGCTCGAATGCTTGCAGCCGGCGAGCGAGCTCTTGGTGCTCCTTCATGATTGCCTGGTTTCTCTTCTCGAGATGGTGAATATATTCCGTCGCTTTCAGTAGAACGGTTCCCTAAACACAGTCAGAACCGCAAAAAGAATAGCACATGCTGGAGCAGGGACGCCATACCTTGCTGACTTTGGGCGCTCCCCGTGTCTGGCTGTCATCGTCGTCTTCGTCGCCCTCATCAGGCATGGACTTCAGAGATGGTACCGCATCTCGGAGCTCCGCAATTTTGTCCTTGAGATTTGTGCGATATTTCCTCTCAATATCATTGTGCGCGGTCCGGTCCCCCAGTTTCCCCTTTTCATTTGCCGCCTCTGCGGCAGCGGCGGCTTTGGCGGCTTGTGCTTTCTGTGCCTTCGTTTGTTTCGCAGGCTTCGGTGCCTCACCCTCCTTCTCCTTCCCTTTGCCCTTGGACTTTGTCGGCTCGTCGCCGGCTGCCTTTGAGATCTCGCTGAGGCTTGCTGTCGCAGCACTCGACCCCCATGTGGCCCATGCTCGAGTACTCCGATCCTATGTCACCTCCCATGCCAAACCCGAAGCCGGAGGCAATGTTGTTGGCGGATCCTCCTGCGTTGAGGGCAATGGCGAGCAATCGTCTTTGCTCGGGGTCCAGCATAGGCGCACCGAGGCCAAAAAGCGGGTTCATTCTGAGGCCGGGGGCTGGTTTCTCCCAGCTCAATGGTGTTGAGTAGAGTCCCTCTCGAGGCGGCACTTCTGATGGGGGCTGAGTTTCAATGTTTGAAAGCTGCTCGCCCAAATTCATGTTGTCGAGAAAGTCCTCATCCTCAGACAGCGCATTGTCGAGGGCGCCATCGTCGAGAAAGTCATCCTCTCTGAACGTTGGGTTTGCATAAAGGCCGGTGCCCAACCCTGGTGTCGTAGGCAAGGGATTGAGCCGCGCTGGTGGTCTGTCGCAAGTCAGTCTGTGCCACCTGCAAAAGTTCCGTCACGTCGCGCCGCCTGCCTACCTGCCGAAATGTGAAGGATTACTGGGCCGTTTTGAAAAGTCGATTTCAAAACTACCACCCAGGTTGTTGTCTGCGTCATCATCGTCAAATTGAATCCAGTAGTCAACCGACTCTAGGGCTGCCGCATCCGGGTCCATTTTGGTCCTCTTCTTCTCGTGCCCTTCCTTTCTTCGTGGGCTCGTTATATTTTGTGTTGTCCTTGAAAGCCCAGGCCCCGGTCGTTTATTATTGGCCTGGCCCAGCACGGGCCGGTACGAGAGGTTCGTCGGCGCTGTGGAGGTCTGCGCAAAAGAGGGCACTGATGCGGAAGGCGGATTGGAAGACGACCCGGTCAAGGATGGCTCGCCTCGCGCGAGCGCATCCCAGAAGGCAGCGTCGGTCTCATTGCGAGTGGCAGCTGCAGTGGACGATTCGCCGGCCTGGTCGGAGATGGTGGATGTTTGATTGTTGGGTGTGGCGAAATATTCCAGGTTTTTGAGAAAGTCGGGGTCCATCACAGCGCCAGCATGTCGACCCCCGAAGCTTCGAGGGGTCGTACGATCTAGGAATCGGCTGGCCTTGTATATGCGAACACGAAGGGAACTCGGCGGTGCTGGCGGGGTTGTAGCCAATGTTGAGGAATGTTCGCGGCGAAGACTTGTTTGCTAGGCTTGCAGCATCACTCGGCACGGGCTTTGGTGTCGTCTCCAGACTTCGTGATGTTGCTGCTTGGCGAAGGGCGGTTCCAGGGCGCTGTGTGGTCCTTGTGCGGGAAAGAGGTCGGAATGGCGGGTATCGCACCGACTCGGCGTTGCGATGATGGGAGCAGACAATGCGGAGGAGTTCGCAGGCTTGCAGAAAATCAGCAGTGGTCGTCAATTGATTCGGGATTTGAAGCAGCAACGAGGCGACAGCAAGGCAATGAGAGGTGTCGCGAGCAAGCAAGGTAAGGTAGGTAGGTTGGTTACGTTAGGTGGTGTGAATGGATGATGGTGGGGAAATATGACCAGACATAGGAATTGGGGAAAGAGAGAGCACAAATACGCACCAAGCTGTTTATTAGCAAGCTTTTCAACAAGCGCAAAAAGATATTTTAGTTGAGACCGACGAAGCGGGGTGGTCGCCGGGGTTTCGCTTGCGAATGCTACTAGCAGGTTGCGGAATGGATACGGGAGGGAATGGTGAGTCGCAAATGTCACTTTTGTTCATTCGGGTCAGGGGGAGCGAGGAGGGCAAGGCAAGAAAGCCGGAAGACCAATGAGGTTCCGGAGGCGAGATTCGACAGGCCAGATGATGGCCTGACCTTCTCAGGGAGACGTTCCCGCTAACCGGAAGATTTTGGTTGCGCCTGACGAAAATCGACCACTTCATGTTGACAATCGTATGATACTCAAGGCTGAAGAGGGGAGTCGTGCGATCCGACGCCGAGGACCGCAGGTGAGCTTCATGGTTGGATGACGAGCCCGAGGCCCCGCTACGGGGCGTTAGCGGCCTTAGCCTTGCAGCTGACTCATCGCAACATGGTCCCCACCACGCCTTGCAGGGAGTCACTTCCCGACGTTCCGCCCCCAGCTCGCCCACCGGGGGAGGCCCCGGGGAGCGTTCTAGGTGATTAGTCCCCTGAAGATCCTCGGCCAGTGGCATTTGACAGCGGACCAGGCCTGAAGTGGAAGGCTGAGGACCAGCACAGGGTTTGTTCTTTGCCACGTGCTAGATGTGCTAGATGTGCTTCCTCAGGGCACGCACAATGCGACGCATAGATACCTTTCGCTCACTTGCATCCGTCGCCTGTTTACACCACGACAACTTTCCAATTCAAAGCTCTGATGGTACACAATCATCACAGGGCAACGAGGAAACATATATGTCCCGATTTTATGATATCTTAGACCCAGTGTACAACTCGGTTCAAGCGTTTTAGTCCTGCTCTTGACAATTGCTGAGACATATGGCTCCTTTCTCCTTGCACTGGCTCGATCCTTCACACTAGCCTGTTGAGAATATCGTCTAGGCTCATCCACGAGGATTCGGGTCCTTAGATCGACTCGCACAGTCGACGCACTTCCCAGTCGCTGCCACGAGGTCATGCTTCGGACTTGGTCCCCGACAGCCGATCTGGTGGCACCACTTGAGGTTATAAAAGCCCGTATGGCCACACTCCCACATTTTGTCGACCTGGATACACATTATACAGATCCTCCCCGGTTGCTATTGGTGTTCGAGTACTGAAAGTATCGATAAAGAGCAGTATGTGCGGAAAACTATGGCCTGTCTCGTGTGAGCCGTCGGGAGAGCCAAGACAAGAAACATGCAAGCAGAATTTAGCTTCGTTTGCAAGCAAAATGCGCTCTTACCGGTATTACTCAAAGGACCTACAGTCTCTAACATGAGGCTCAGGAGTTATGAACGTTGATAACTTATCTTCTCCCGACAGAACTGTATTGTTGTCGTGCACCCGCTCCGGACCTAGAAGTCACAGCTGTCTAGTAACAGCGAGGAGGGGTTGTGACTGGAATCGCAGCTATGGCCTGGGAGGCTATCAGTTCACATCTTCCATTGTCAACGATAGCTCCGGCTCAGTAGCGGGGGCTCGGGGGTAGATATATGTTGAGCGAAGGCGGGGAGGCGGGCTAAGGGCAGATCATCCATCTCTTCAGTGCTATCAGTCAGACCTAGAATACCCCCCCAAAGGTTTCTATACATGGAGCCAGAAGGCATGCAGGCTGCCGAGAACGTGGGTGCTGTGCAACCCCGTCACGCTAGGGAGCCAGCTCCCTATCGTGTCGTTTTCTCGTGGCATGTAGCACTAGTCTAGGTCAGGATTGATTTTCGTTACACATACGAAACAGAAAACAACGACTGAGGAACAAGTTCTGTGCAGTATCATCAGCGAGGCTAATGCGGTGTCGAGGTCAGCCACAGTCTGGTCGGTTGTGTCTGCTCCACGTGCAAGGTCAGGGCCCTGGCAGCTACTTCATGTCTCACAGCTCATGATTCAAGCTGTGAATTTTCGACAGCCGTATCAGTATCAGACGTCTTTAGCTGAAGCTCGCGATCCGAAGGAAAACAAGGAATCCCGACCTCCTTCGAGTCACTGTCAAGGAGAGGGGCTTGATCACGCCGTGGGGGGCTTGACATCGGCCGGTCTTGTGAGCTGTCAGAACCCCCGAAACCCCGCCTCGCCCCGCAGCGTCTACCAAACCTTTGCTTTTGCTCTACACGCAATACTTCGCTCCAGCACGACACACCTGCTCATTCGCGTCAGAAGAGTCCAGTGCGTCTCCTCATTACATGCTTCCAATCGATATGTACTGTAGAGATTCAAAGATCTCAATTTTTCGTGTCACCAATTTCATGCCATGTCGCCAACCTCGTTGCATACACGATGCCCACGCCATGCAACCACAAGATGGCTGCCACACATGTCGCATGCGTCCACACGAAGACCTGTCATCTCTTTCTGCATACAAGCCGAGCTCCCCGCTCGGGTCCGGTCCAAATGCAAGGGTGATTCAGTGCTGTCAAGACCTGCTATGGGCTGTTGAACAACTGAAAGGGTGTGCAGCCGCGGCGTTCGGACCTGATCTGTCATGTGCTGTGACGTCTTAATTAATGTCCACGCAGCCACGTCTTTGAGAGGAGGGGTTTTGCAAGATCATAGCCCCAATCAGCTTCTTGCTGGCTCTTCGGCAAATCATGTGAGGGGAGGGTGCTGCTTGACACCCTTGGCCTCGTGTGTCTCTACGGCATTGCTTCGTACGGTGGTTTGTAGAGTGAATCAGCGTCATTTTGGTGTTAGCGAACGTGTTCAGTGTATCTCTCTGCACCACGTCTTTAGCCCCGATGTATGGCAACTTCAGCACATTTCCAACGCCAACTTCCTAAAACCGGGGGCACGCTTCGCTCAGTACACCATGAATGAAACGAGGGGGTTCACATGGCAATGTTCTGTTGACCATTGCTTATAGATCAGTCTGCAACAGCTTCGGGCGCAAATGAGGTTCAGTATGAAGGGCAAGATGCTGGCTTGAGTTTGATGTGCACCGACATACTTGCTGTCTACTTTAGATGAAGCTTGCAGGCCCGCCGTTGCCTCTTCAGACGATTTTTACGCTCCTGCTGGCTGGAAGTCTCTTCGCAGACCTCCTGCCCTACCTCGAGCAAGGTACCTGCCTAAAGAACATTGATGTGCTCCTGCCTTAAAGCTCCTCCTCAAAGCTGCTCCTGCCCCAGAGCTCTGGCACTAAGGTATTTCCGCAGAAGCACAAATTAGTTGCCCCAAACACTTACCTGCCTAGGTAGGTAGGTAGATACCTACATTAAGTACAAGTAGTGGCCAGATATCCAGGACTTGTGCCCCCCTGTCCACTCCTTGAACGACGAAGTCTCGGAAGCAAGCTCTCTGCTCAACGTTGCCATACCTCTCCCAGCACCTGCAGTTTTGCAACTACATCTCTAACGCAGCTCACAGCTTCAAAGGCAAATCCCAACACGGCTCCAGGACTGGGGAACCAAGATACGATGCGACTCTTTTCAGGTTCTCATCTCGTAGTCTTGGTCCTCGCAGCCTGGTGCCAGCATATTTCAGCGCTCTCTTGGGGCATCCAAACGAAACGGTCAGCACCGGGAGGCTTCCTAGGGGATACAACCCTGAGTTCCGCATTTGGTATGGAGAAGGACGTACCCCTGCCAAGTATGTACGCAGTGGCCTTGCGTGAGCTGCAAGAACTCGAGACCCAGCCTCTTTGTCACCGGGTCGCAGCTCGTCTCCTTGTCAACAACTGTCAACTCCTCGACGGCAAAGACGATGCCACCGTGTTGATCGACAGTGGTCGTCAGGTTCGTGACTTTGTCGATTCCTACGCCGCCAGTTTGGCCATTTGCGATCTTGAACGGGGTAGCTTTTCCATTCCGTCTGATTGCTTCAGATTTCAAGAGACCGTCCTACTCAACCTTCCAGAATTCGACAAGACGAACCTTCATGTCTCAACGCGAGAGATCGACTCCTGCCTCACTGCACTGGCCAAGTCAGATTCTGCGTGGAACACTTGGGTCAGCTACCGCCACAAGGCTCTGAGATTCTGCGAGGCCGCTCGCGCTGACAATGAGAAAGGTACGTTCTCATGCTTGGTATTCCCTATTGTTTGTACTAACAATATCTAGCGCAAAACGTGGAGTTATACAAACGGTTGACTCGAGTGCTCTCTAGGCTCACTCATGGTGTTGAAGCCGAGCTGGAGAAACATCTGCGATCCATCAACGACAAGTTAGATAATGCTCACCTCAATCTGGATCACCTGGCACCGCGTCTGAATCGTCTTCGAGATGACCTCACCGCGCTGGAACAAATGTTGTCCGAAAGAGTTTTTCACACGGCAACGGTAGGTCGATACTCACAATGATGTGCGGGTAGGGTCAAGCTAACACTCATAGGACACGACTTCTTCGATCCAGAACGGCCTACGGGACGCCAATACTCTTCAGCAACTGATATCAGTCCTGATTGAGACAGTCCTGCAAAGCAATGCCGATAGCTCGACTTCTCATGATCGTGCTATTGAGACCATGCAAAAGTATACCGATCTCGAGTCGTCCGTTTCTGCAGTGCTTGAAGGGCTCATCACCTCGACAAACTCCCTTCAAGAGCATATTGTATGTGGCCCCCAACACCCAAGACTCATGACTTATTATGTTGTAGACGGCATCAAAATCTCAGGCTGCTGCCCTCGCGCATCAGCAAGACCGCCTCGAGCAAGTAAGTATGGTGAATATCGGCATTTATCGAGCCGCTTTATTGACGTGAATCAGGGGTTGAAGACTTTACTTGGATTTTCGGATAAACTCGCTACAAAATACGAAGACCACGTTGAGATGATAGAGAAAGCTCATTCGAAAGCCGGAGACATACTTGACAAGTTGACAGAAGCCTCTGCTTCAGCTAGCACGGTCCATGATTCCATCCGTGGCAGTGTTGGCTGGATGAATTGGTGGCCATACATTATTTGTCCGACAGTCTCCTTGACTATGGGCTCATATGGACTACCTCCGTCAGCTCTCAGAAATCTGGGACTGGTTGCCCTAGGTGCGTAGCTCGTCAGTTCTAGCCAAACATTCAAGCTGACGATCAACTAGGCGAGCTCACTGGATTCGCCATTTCTTTAGCCCATCATTTTCCACGCGACATTGTGCGAATTTGGAACGACGATGGCTCCTTCGGACTGGGCACCGATATCAAGAGCGACTCGAAGCCTGCACCAATCATTCCATCTACTGTTGGCTTTCGAAACGGGACGATCTAGGCGGTATTATTCGCGCCAAATCTTGGGGTTTTCGTTTTACAGATCATTGGGGGTTAAGTGGAAGTTCTTACTTTCCATGGGATTTATTCTGGGCTCGCTTATACGTGAGAAACATAGGCGCGATAAACTGGGACATCAGGAAAAACTGGTGATGGTTGATTTCGCGTAGCTTGAGGGTTTTCGGGTAAGACGTCGAATTAGCAAGCGTTCGGTTTCGCTACCCAAGCAAGCATAGTACAATTTTTTTATGGGATTTTTCAGGTGATGGACTGCCAGTAGTTGGTGCAGCAATGGTGATGTCGTGGTGGTGGGGCGCATCACTTGCGAAGCCACCGTTCTGCATGCAGAAGCAGACAACACATGTGGCAGCAGCTGAAGTGCCTCTTCCCATTAGCACCATCAGATCTAATGTGCATCAGCGGCATTGTACCTCCAACTTGACCGTGCCGACACCGCGATAACAAAGCATCCAAGCCCACTCAGTCCAGTGAGCAAGCCTCATTGCCGCAATGTCTTCCTCGGTGATCAGAGTCGCTCTCGTCCAACTTTATCCCGAGGTCAGTCAGTCACGTAAGCGATGGGTACAACATGGCATCACTTGTCGAGACTACCATAACGAGAGGACTTTGTTCGGATTTCCATTGGAGTAGTCCAGTAGTGCTGACGTATATGCAGCCGCTCTCCCTGGCATCCAACTTTACCAAAGCCGAGTCGTTTATCCGCGACGCTGCATCCCAGGGCGCTCACATCGCCGTCCTCCCAGAATATCATCTCACGTCCTGGGCGCCGCAAGACCCCCGCTTCCTCGCTTGCTGCGAGCAGTCCCCCCTCTATCTCGAGAGGTACCAGGCTCTCGCCAAGGAACTGGCCATCGCCATCGTCCCGGGCACCCTCGTCGAGCACCGGGCCGAGACGAGCGACCTCGTCAACATTGCGTACTTCATCTCCGACGGCGGCGAGGTTCTCTCGCGCTACCAGAAGAAGAATCTCTGGCACAATGAGCGGCCCCACCTCGTCGCGGATCCTTCGGAGCACAAGGCTTTCGACACGGCGCTCGGCGGCGGGTGTCGAGTGGGCATGCTGGTGTGCTGGGACCTGGCGTTTCCCGAGGCGATGAGGGAGCTGGTGCGAGATGGAGCGCGTGTCGTGATCATTCCGGCATTTTGGCTGATGGATCAGTATCGCGACCGGACGGGAAGCGTCATCAATCTCGAGAGCGAGAGGGTGTTCCTGGACAGCGTGGTTGTGGCTAGGGCATGTGAGAGCTCTGCGGCAGTCGTTTTTGTCAATGCGGGAGGTCCGAAGCCGCGCGCAAAGGGAGAGGATCAATCTATGAGCTTTTGCGGGGTGAGTCAGGTCGGGATGCCACTGCTGGGATCTCAGGGGAGGCTGGGGGCGGAGGAGGGTATGAGTATCGTGGACGTGGACCTTGACACACTCGATGCTGCCGAGGGCGGCTATAAAGTAAGGGCAGACTTGGGACGAGAAGGGTGGCATTACGGTTACTCTCTGGTCAAAGAAGGCGAGATTGGTTGAGGAATAGGACATCTCTATTTAGGATGCCTAAAACTAAAAGAAAAAAAAACTGCGGTACCGGACACAAGCTCTTGAAATAATGCGTCGCTAACCATGCTAAAATTCATTGATCATTGCATTTTTTGCAAGCCGTAAATGAACACATCGCTCAGGGTATCGGCAAGGTCTCCATCCTCTTCCGTCGTGCTTCGTGCCGGGCGATGGCGAGAAAGTCGACCCGGGTCGCGATCCTGTTGCGTCCATGTTTATGCTCCAGTCTCCTTCGTTCCCTGCCCACATTGTGTGCCCGGTCTCGTTCGATCTTGGGGTCGGAGGACGGCTCACCGCAGATGAATCTGAGCCCTTCGTCATCTTTTGACGTCCACACCCCCATCATGTTGGTAGGCAATCCCTGGTTTGGGTGTGTCTTCAGCATCTCCATAACTTCACTGGCTATTCCGGTTTCCATGCATGTTGCTGTCAATGCTCGACAAACGATCTTGCGTGAGTATCCAAAGGATTCGTAGTACTCCACCTTCCTCGCGACTTCGTCAGCGTCTTGGTCTGTCTCCAGAGCTGGACGTACTTCGTTGTTTCGTTCGTGTGCTTCAGCCACGCTTGCCGACCATTCGTGAATCCTGTTCACTCCTTGGTTTATGGTACCTATCGTGAAGTCATGTTCCCCAGCCCCCTTCGTCTCAGGCCGGCTTTTATGTTGTCGTTTGCGAGCGGAGTCCTTGACAGGCAGATTGAGAGGTATTGGTGAATCATCCTTTGCCTCTTGATGAAGTTGTTGTGATGGTGTGATCTCATCGTCACCCGTGTCCTGCGAGTCGCGCACCTGGTCTTTCGCGGCACGACCACGAATCACAGAGTTGGATCTGGAACGAGTCGTCAAGTTATTTCCATCTACTTTTGAGGCCTTCGAAATATTATCCGGGGTGGAAGGAATCTCGTCATCCCGACTTCTCCGTTGTCGTTTGTGTGCTGAGCTGCCATGAACTGAGGCGTCATTGACCATATCAGTAGTTCTATCCCTCTTGACGCCCAAAGAACCTCGCCCGGATGCAGCACTCAAGTCTGCTGTTGAGTCAGTGTTATGGTGCGAAATCTCCTGCCAATGCCACTGCTCCTTAGTGTTTTCTGGTGATATCTCAGGGTCACTCGCTCCAGAAACAATCGCGCCATTTCCAGTGCCATTTCCATCAGCAGGGTCTTTGATACCCTCTTCGGCGGTGCTCTGGCTGTCGGGTTCTTCGAGGGTATTGACGAAGTCTCGCAAAGAGTTTTCGTAGCATTTACGCAGAAGCTTTGCGGCATTCGGATACTGACCACGTGCGAACCCGAGCTGTTCCGCGACTTGTTGCCAGTCCTCTTCACCATCAGGATCTCGGCAGGCCTCGACAGCTACGTGTAGCAGGTAAAGATCCACTGACTGTCTACATATCTTGGGCTGCAGGTCGATGGCGAGTTCCATGACCTCAGAGTATGCGGCTATGTTGGCAAGAAACTCGTTTCTCTCGTCATCGAGCTCTGGGGAAGGAGGCTCGGTCTGCGCGTCCTTGACTTCAATGACATCCTCCACCCTATCGGGGCTCGTTGTCGTTTGTCGCACACCACGATGTTTGTAGTTTGAAGGGCCGTTTTCTTGTGGGGAGGAACTTTGGTTTTGAAATGGTGGTTTCGAATACTCGTGGTAGAAGTCGTATTTCTGTCCCTTGCTCTCTGCAGCCTCGATACGAGGCCTCAGGACTTTCAGCCAGTGATTCCGCCAGGATTGCCAGGTATGTTCTGGGTTCTTCGTACTGTCAGCTCGAATCAACCTGTACCACCTCCTGTTGCACACATACCTCTACAGCAAAATCTTGAAACCATTTTGGGCCGGCCTGTATGCCTTGCCTCGCTGCACGTTTGACACTCTTAGCTATCAAAATATCATGTTCCGGCGTAAATCGGGATCTCTGCGTTGACTGCGGTGCCTCATTCTTGGACAACTTAGGCAGACTGTTGCGAGGAGACTGATCACGTAGACGGGATACTAGAGGGCTCGCCATCTGCGCGTCGGCCGGTGACTCTGGAAGTTCAAGAGGCTCAGCAGGAGAACCATCTGCACGCTCCAACTGATTTCGATAATGAGACTTGATCTCCTGGCGCGCTGCATCGGCGACAGCACGAGTCAGCAGGCCAGCGCCTTTGGTGCGTGCGAGGCGTGACAAGATGCCGTCCTCTTTCCAGAGGTCGTCCAGTCGATCATCGGCCTCCAAGACGTATTTGGTGACCCGCAGCATGGAATCGATAGTGCGCTGCTGAACAGGCTCTTCGAGTGGGTAATCCGAGTGCCACCACTGGCCTTGAGGCCAGTATGACGCCAGTTCTTTGAGCTGCGCCGCGCTCTCAAGATTCTGCAATTTTGGTTGTTGAATCGGACTTTCACTTGGTTGAGGCTGCGCTGGTGCATCACGTTGTTCAGGCAGCTGAGCCGGAGTGTTGCTAATGATCCTCTTTTGCAGTTCCTCCTGGGACAAGAAGGAAAGCTTCTTGACCCAGCGATCTCTCCATGATTGATAAGTGTGGCGATTGTTCTGGACAGATTATTACTAATAACGAAACAGAAGCTGGGAATGAATACATACAACCCGCTCGAGATCTTGGTATACCGTATTTCCCTTGTCGTTCTTACTATTCGCAAGAACCCACTTGATGAGGTCGGAATCATCAGATGGGGTGAATGGAGTACGAGTGCTTTTCCCCGGTGCAGCGGACGCCGTAGGTCGGGACTTCTGAGATTGATGACCAATCAGGTATGTGCCATCATCTTTGTTCTGCAGAATGCCCTTTTTGATAGAATCATCGACCCATTTCCAGGAGTAGGCACTTGGTGGTGCGTCTGCTCGCATATGGTCTGCGATGAGCATATCGGCATTCTTCTCCAAGGGCACGATCGAGCCGCCATTATTCTGTACCCGAGTCAGGAAACTGAGTATCAGGATACGATTTTTCAACTGACCGAGATAGATTCCAGTAAGGACTTTCGACAGGCAACCCGCTGTGCGACCCAAAACTTTATGCCCTTGAATAACTGGCCACCGGGCAGTCCTTCATAAGTGATGGCTGCCGACATTCTTTGTGATTTGACCCGCAGATTGTCTCGATGGGAGCTGGAGCTTCAAGAACGAGAATGTGTATTGTACTTGAGGGCGCAAGACTGGGGGGCAGTTGCAGGACTTCTGAAGTGGGTTTACGTTGCAAATCTCGAAGGTGCCGACCCCAGGTCTTTAACTCAACGGGGGTCTCGCGAGTTGTGAAATCCGTGGTTCCCTGCCCTTTCGCGACTGGTGCATAATGAGCCCGCTGAGCAGCTGGCGGCGTAGCGGCCTGACGTCCGCACGTTGTGACCTAGGAGAAGGTGACAGACAGTGACTGACGCGTGATGAGGCGCGATTGAACCCGTGCCATCGCGTCCTCACGTGCAACCAATCCACCCCGCAATTCTCTGTTAGTAAGCGAAATTCAAGCACCCAGCTTGTCAGCGTCGGTTATCCGGTGACGTTGGTCTCTCAACGGGCCATCCGGATTGCTATGGTCATATTTGAGACCAAAAGGCTCACAACCTAAGGGCGAAACAAAACAGGAGGTGAATACTGCTATTTGCTTTGTACAGCTTTCATTTGTGTTGCGAAGCGAGCTACGGCCGTCGTACCCAATGCAGCTGATCGCAACTGCGACTACAGTCTCACCTCTCTGCTGCCTACTGCTGACGTCTTGAAGTTTTGGTAGGCCGCTGGGACAAGCCTCTCAGCATCTGGCGAGGCTTCACGTGTTGTTCTTTTTGTACCCGGCGGGCTTGAGGTGCATGATTCCTGAGTTGCATGTCGCGAAGATGGGCATAATTAGAACAGTAGCGACAATCGTGCTGAGCATTTCGTTCTTCGTGTTCGTGCTCTTCTTCGGACGACTTCCAGCCTTAAGGTAAGCCAGCCGCTCCGCAATGCACCCCGTTCATAAAGCTGACGAAGGAAACACTAGGAATACTCCAGTCGCGGCGCTGTATAAGTTACTCTTTGTCCGCGTTCCTGATGGACTCGTTGCTCTGGATCGGATTGTGACGTCGGGGCGTCTATCCCGATCTCTCTCACGATTTGGAAATCATATCATGTACGACAGACATCCGACGATAGTGGTGCGTTACTCCTGTCTCAGGCCTGTCTGTTCATTCTGATTCGTGTACCTAGATGTTCTTCTTTGGCTTGCTCTTAGGTGCCGAGTACTTGTACCTGCCGAGCGCCTGGCCTCAAATGTCGACCTCCCATCGAGTCTTCGGCTCCATCAGCGTCTTTTTGCCATACTTGTTTCTTTACCTGGCGGTCAACGCCGATCCCGGCTACATCACGCCAGAGAATCACGCCTATTACATGTCGCTTTATCCATACGACTACTCCATCTTCCATCCCGGCCACAAGTGCAGCACCTGTGGCTTCATCAAGCCCCCGAGGTCCAAGCACTGCAGCATCTGCAAACGCTGCATCGCAAAGTGCGACCATCACTGCATCTTTATAAACGGATGTGTTGGCTACGAGAACCACAAGTGGTTCGTCCTGCTCCTCCTTTCGACTGCCATTCTAACGACATATGGCGGCGCTCTGGGCTATTCGATCCTCACAGCCAAGATCCGGGCCAGGTTTCCTGCGTGGTCCGTCTGGCCGCCAAGCTCGCTCGGCTGGGAGGACTACTTCCTCATCTGGAGTTGGGGGCTTCAGGACGACGTCAGCATGGGGGCTGTCACACTGCTGTCGTCCATGACGACCCCCTTGGTTTGGGGTCTGCTCATCTACACGCTGTGGCTCATCTACTGCGGCACGACGACCAACGAATCCCTCAAGTGGACCGAGTGGAAGGAAGACATGGACGATGGGCTTGCATTCAAGCGCAGCATGTCGACCAACAGGACGAGGGACCCCCTGCGCGAGTCGGCGACTTCGCGATGGCCGCTCGACACCCAACAGGTCTTGGTGACGACCGAGAACGGCATGCCGCCGGCTGCCGGTGGACCTGGACAGGGCGAGTGGGAACGCATCTGGAAGATGCGCGACGTCGAGAATCTCTACGACATGGGGCTTTGGGATAACATGATGGACGTCTTTGTGAAGGATTATGCGTTCGGGAAGCGGCGGGACCAACCTCCTATTGAGGATGAAGGCCGGCCGCGTCAGCCATTGAAAGCCTCTCGGTTTTGAGGCACGCTGGGCCGCTGTTGGCAGCACAAGCTGGCAGTTCGACAGCCAGAGAGACTGTTTTAGGAGTACTGGATCGCATCATTAAATGCGTGACCGATGACACTGGCTCTAAAAGTAGACGAGTTTTGAGCGACAAAGATGGGCATCAACATGTAGATGCAAGGTACATTCATGAGAACCTAAGCGGTCGCGGCGAATGGAGTAGTGCTTCTCGCGGAATGAGCATTTAACGGGGTTTCATTGACCATTTCTCGTAACTATCGTTCCCCCACACAGGCGGCATTAGGTAGCAGGCGCTGCGACCGATTGCAGCCTTTAGACTTCATCCTCTCACCACATGTCTGCCATATCCAGGTGAAGCAGCCTCACCTCATCATTGCAATGAATAGTCTTCGGTGCCGTCGGTCCTCCTGTTGGAATTGTGCACAGCTACAGAATGGTTCCAAAGCTGGTTTGTGTTAGCCATGCAGCTTGGCCTGCGCGCAAAAGGTGGTCACTTACCCGAAGGTGCGCTTGATGCTGTTCACATAGTACTCCTCCCAGTTGCGCTTGGTGACGTCCTCCTGGCCAACAGGAACGCCGGTCCAGGACACGCGCATCAGGGTAACGTGGTCGACGTCGTTCTGGTCGAACTCAATGCTCAGCTTGGAGAAGTGGCCAGCGGGCCACTGCTTGAGACGCCAGCTCTGCACGATCCTCTTGGGGGACTCCAGCTCCAGGTACTCGCCCGAGACATTGCCATCAAAGAGCTCGAACTTGCCGCCCTTCTTGGCACCCTCAAACACCTTAGGCGGCGCACGGGTAAAGGCAGCAATGCGACCGGGATCAGTGAAGGTCTCGTACAGCTGGTCGGCAGAGGTACGGAACTCAGTTGTCTCATTCAGGGTAACAGTGTTCACGACGCCTCCATTGTTGGTCTGAGTGGAGGACTGGGCTGCAGACTTGGAAGCGCTTGTAGGCGCATGCACCTTGGGGGTGGAGAAGCCGCTGGATGGGTTGGACCCAGGCGCGTGCTGGATATCCTTGCCATGCTCAGCAATGAGGGCCGAAGAGAGCTTGGAGAACTCAGATCGAAGCTGAGGGACAAGCTTGGAGCGAACCAAGTCTTTTACAGGCTGCTTGTCCTTGGACTCGGCGAAAATGTCGACGTCGAACACGTACTCGTCTTCCTCGGTGTCATGGGCGACCTCGGGGACCGTAATGGTGCCCGAAACGTCAGCCTCATCGGGAGTAGAGCCGGAGTACTCGAGCACGAGCTTCACGTCGAAAATGGTAATAACTTTGCCCTTCCTTTGGCTGACGTCCACATCGCCGTCCATGCTCACGAGCTTGCTGATCTTCGCCGTGACACCGCCATCCTCAGCCTGGAGCTTCAAGAGCGTGGTCGCGAGGTACTCCTTGGCCCACGGTGAAACATCCTTGTTGACCCAATGCCAGTTATTAGGGTTATGGAGGACCATCTTGGAAGCGGTGACTCAGTTCTGACGAGAGCTGTGAGGCTGTGGCTTTTGACTGTCGAATCCAAGTCAGCAAGGAGCTCGAGAACAAGGTGATGCTTGCGATTCGGGAAGGTAGGGTTCCAATGTTCAGAGAGAGGTCGAAGACCGAAGCATGTGTCATCAAAGATGGGAGTACAAGTCTTTCTATGACTGGTGCCAGCTGGCGTATCATCATGTGGAAGGGGAAGAAGGGGGTTGAGGTGTTGTTGGCAATGGAGGTCGTCTTACCTGTGGACGTGTTTTCGGTGTCGTTATCTCATAGCTAAGGACACCTGCAGGAGCGAAGTGGGAGTAAGGTAGTTAAGTGAAAACAGCTTCACAACGGAGTCGCGAGAGAAAGCTCTAGAATTTTGACGACTGCGGGGTGGAGACTGCTGCGGTAGAATCTCGGCTCGCCTGAAGGCTACGGGGACCCTCAACGCATCCCTTCACCATTCTGAGCCTCAGGCTGCTCGCAACTGGACTGGGTTGACTGATTACCGACTGCCTGACAGAAAGTCCATTCGCAGATCGAACAGACCGAACAGAGCCAAGCTCATCTGGAGCATGACCACAAACAAAGGGCCAGAGGGCCACTCCAGTACCAAACCCCACCACACCGACAGCTATCTGCAGCACACCGAGAAGGAGGCGGGGCCGAGAGGTCTATCTGCTACTGGGCTTTGAAGCTGCCAACTCGCGCGGATCAGGTCACCTGTCTGGCCAGTCGGCAGGCTATTTGCGATTGTCCGAGAACGACTTGGTGCTTGTTGGGTCGGGGCGATGAGCTTCTGTAAAGGGTGACACGGCATGCATATGTGGACTTGGTCGTCGAGCGACTCAGACTCAGTACGCCTGCGCAATCCAGGTCATACCGCCGCGTTCCCGTGCGTCGACCAACGGATGCGAGGTGCCTTTGGCGAAGCAGCTTGGGCGAAACGCTAATGCAAGGTTCTCGACCAGCTTGCCTAGGAGCCGAATCACGCAGCGTGGTATCACATCCGAAATCCAAGGCCGGGCGACCAAGAGAGGTAGAAAATTAAGCGCCGACGCTTCTTCTTTCTCCGCACCTCGCAGCAGCCAATTGGACACCCATCATGCCCCCTTGGCGTCTCCAAGAATAGATTGGACTTAACAAGCATTGCTTTCCCACGAGCTCTGTCCCAGAAATCGCTGGCCGACGCGGTCGCGACCATGTGGTCGGAGCCAAAAGATCAGAGAGCGCACTCTGTACGTCTCTGCTGTTGAGATGGCCTGGCTCTGAAAGCATCTCAAGCCAGAATATGGGCTCTCGACGTGTCAAATACGACCTGTGCTCCCTTCAAGCGGACCGTTGGATAGCCTTGAGCGACTGACGCCTAGACGTGATCTCCTCCCAGGGCACTCGAAGCACCTTGCGACAAAGTAGCACCCACGGGCATCCCGGTCCTCTGTTGTGCAGTAGTCACATGCGGCACTGCTTGAGCTGTGGCCCGCCCTAGTTATCTGTCTTGACTGGTTGGAGAATCATCTCCTAACAGGCTACCCCATGGATAGTCAACGCCAAGGTCAGCAAGCGTTCTGGCCGACAAAGCAAAGGTACATGCACACACATCCCAGCCATGATCTATGAGAGGACCGAGCCAGTGGCTACCATATCACTCACCTACAGTTCTTGAGCTCATGGTTGCCCATGTTCATCGCTCCGACCGATCCTTTCATCTTTCTCTTCTGTGTCTTCGATCGCAAAACGACGAGAATCGACACCGTCCGGGTCTTGGTTGGTGTCACCACAGCCAGAACTGGGGATCAATGTTACGGAAACCAACCGACATCCATTCACCCCACCCCTGACATCTATCTGCAGGGTCAAAGCCGCTGCAGGAGGTGTGCAGTACCATCCGCCGGCCAGCCCATTTCGCCAGCCTTCTGTCTCCTGTGCCGTCCATCCTCCTTGCCTTTTCGTTGCCGAAAACCTGCTCCTCTGTTCCCTCCACTGCACCTTGTCGGCGAATCTGGTGTCACGACACTGCTCTTCGTCTCGTATGCTATAGCTTGGCCATGCGCTTGACCTCACCCTCCACCCGTTGCTGAACGGATCGGTGAAGAGCTTCTTAGCTACGGCAAAGCAGCGCACCTGGTCCAGCTCCCCCGCCTCTTCGCGCCAATCCTCGGAGCAACCCGCCTACGCGCTGCAGTGCTATTTCCAACGACGAGCAAAGGAAGCGTGTCCGACCAAGACGCGGCAGAGCCACGATGAGCAATCCTCGTGATCCTTCGCGCCTGCGGCAAGGGCTCAATCCTCTCTTGACCACCTCTCTCGGTGGCTATCATCAGAGCGCAGCACCATTGTCTGCTGTTTCACTGAGCTCGACAAGCCACCTGCAATCGGCACAGCCCACACCCACCACCGGAAGTGCCATACAGCCCTACAACCCTCAGGAATGGATTGCTTCGCCAGCAGCTGGGCCCGAACGAACGCACCAGTTTCCCGAAACTCAAAGTGGTACACATCCTTTCACCTCGTTGCTGTGGGCACGAGTTCCTTGTCGCAGGTCAACCTCAGAACTGACAATTCAATTAGTATCCCCTCCGCCCCCGCCTCCGTATAGTCCGCCTTGGAACCAGCGCCCAGTGAGCAGCGTGTTCGAGTCTTCTCCAGCAGCCAACACCTCGGCCGCCAGGGTGCCTCCAAGCAATGTTCATCGGCCGTCGCCTGAACCTGTTGCCAACACGTCATTCCCTCCTCCGCCCGGGGCCAACGGCCGAGGCGGTTCGCGCGAGAGACGATTCGGTCTCTCATCGCTGCGAAGACACAAGGAAGCTCACGAACAGCCTAGCCCGCCTGATCCCATGCCGCCCATCTCATTCTCACGGCCTACACCTCCTCCCATTAATATCCCGATAGGACAGCCGGTGCCACAGCGAACGGCTTCTGGTTCTTCACAGGGACCTCCTGGTGCACGTCGGGCGGTGTCCACAAGCGCCATCGAGACTCCGACATCAGCCAGGTCTCGATCAACATCGCAGACAAGATGGGAGCCCGGCATGCCACTTCCGCCTCCACCACCCGGTCCACCGCCAGCTTCATCCAGATCACAGAGCGTACAAAGTACCAGCAGGACGAGTGAACCGATGGTCTCGCCACCGACAAGGCGCCCTCCGCCCAGCAACGGCTCCGCGCTTGGCCCTGTTCCCCCGACACCTGCTGACTGGATCGATCAAGACGTCCAGCAAGCGACCCCAACACCTTCGCGGGGCAGGGCTGCTGGCCTGACGATTGACACCACCCAGCCTGCCTCTTCGAGTCAGGTCACCGAATTGACAAGCTCCGCCAGTCTTAGTCGTGCTGGTGCTGTGCGTCTCGATAAGACCATTGTTCAGAGGCGAGCCGAGAGCCGGACGAGACAACACGAGTCTATGGACGGCATCCTACAACCAATGCAATTGACCGATATCGTGGTCCCGAGTGCCACTACCTTGTCCCGGCGACGGACCATTAACAAGTCTACCCCGAGGAGCGGAGGCAGGACGATGCAGGACACGCCCCAGACGGGGGGGAGCGACTCGCAACGAGACCCGTTGAGTCTTACCCCCAAAGCTCTGGGGTCTGCACACAGGACTGAGCGGGACATGGCAACACCGCCCTTTTCACCACGTCCCGGGAAAGCCCCCGCCACTGATCCTCGAGGCGTTGCGCCGAAAGCGCTCCCAACGCCGCCACTTCACAGTCGCTCGGCTTCAGCCTCTCAGACTCGAGGCGGCAGGTCAGGCTCCTTGGGTCGGGCTGCGGCGACGCCCTCCGATAGCGCCCCATCTTCGTCAACAACGGTGCCCAAAACTGTGGTCGTTTCTCAAACAGCCGATCAGTTCTGTCAGGGGACCATTGAAAGATTTGAGGCTTTTGCGGCCAGCGAAGCGGCCGCCACATCCGATGGAGACCGAGTCCGGCTTTTTGCCGACTTTATCGTCAGCGAGTCGAGGATTCGACGCGAGCGATATGCTTCGGCGATAGGGGCTATGGGGTCTGAGATATTTGATCTGACGAGGGACCTCTTCCGGCCCATGGCGGCCAGGCGAGAATCCGGGATCTATCCAGGCCAGAGCCAATTCACGCCACTGTCATCTCAGCCCTCTCGATCACACCGCGGGTCCATTGACTCTGCGTACCGAGACGTCGTTGGGCAGTCGAGCTCAGCACCGACATCTGCCAACACACCAAGCTCGCCCTTGGCTGGTCCACCAAACAATGGCACATGGACGTCCAACTACATGCCTTCCCTTTCTCCTATCCTGAGCCTCAGCGTCAGTGGGAATGGGGATGGTAGTTCTCGAGGCCGGCCGCCCAGCAGATGGTGGGAATCAGACTCGGCAGGAACTGGGGGTCACTTGATGGAGAGGTCCAAACGCGAATCCAAGTACATGGGCATGCCAAAAGAAGCCCGCGAGGCTCTGCAATGGGGAGACAGTCCGGTCCAAGACGAACTGCACACGGGCGTCAGTGAGCCTGATGCTTCGGCTGGCTATCCGCCCGAGAAGACGGGTTGGCATGACCAGGAGTCAGCCCTGACTCCCCAGCCCGTTGGCATTCGCAGTTCCACGCAGTCCCTCACCTCGTCGGCATCGCCAACTACCCCAGGTCCAGCACAGTTGGACATTTCTCGCCTCGTGACTCTGCCTCCTCCGTATCCTCGCCACCACCCGGCTGTGAACAACAACCACCCCGAACTCACGGCGACACGCACGGCTGTGAGACAGATCAGCGATCTTTCCGAAATTGAGCATGCTAGGGCGCGATACCAGCAAACGAGCCGCAAGAAGCGGGAAGAGGCCACCAAAGCTGCTTCGGAGCGACGATCGGCTCTGCGCAGCAACCTTCAACAAGAAATCAACTCGGGCAACATGTCCTTTGCAGAGGCTTCTGCGATTGAGCAAGATTCGAACGAGAGCGAAAGAGAGGGACTCAAGGACCTGGAAAAGGCCGACTTTGAACATTTCCAGAGCCAAGTCGTGATCCCTCTGAACGAGCTCCTCACTGGCCGCATCGCCAAGGCGAACGCGCTCTTCGACGGGCTCGCCAGTCGGCTGTTTGACGACGTGGAAAGCGCAGCGGACATGCCGCAGGAGGAGGGCGACGACAAGCCAGAGCTACTGGAGAAGTTGACGCTGCTGAAATGGATTTTTGAGGCAAGCGAGGTTCTGCATCGGGCCAACTACGACTTGCTGTCGGACCGCAACGACCGGTACCGCGACGTTGTCGTCACGCCGTACCGGCTTGCGAATAACCAGGAAAAGGTACGGTCCGCCGAGGCCTTCTTCGCCGAGGATGCGGCGAAGCGACAGCTGGCCTTTGCCAACGAGGTCCTCGAGCGGACGCGGACGTTTCAGAACGTCATGGAGCAGAACGTCGTGCGCGGCGTCGAGGTGCAGCTGTCGGCGTTCTGGGACATTGCGCCCCCACTCAGCCGGCTGCTCGACAAGGTGCCGGGAGACCTCAGCGGAGGAGGGTTTCGAGTGCAGATTCCGGCGCAGGAGTACCAGGAGAACCCGACGTATCACCAGCACCCGTTGCAGTACCTCTTCAGCCTTGTGCTGCACGCCGAGAAGAGCACGTACCAGTTCATCGAGTCGCAGACAAACCTGCTCTGCCTGCTGCACGAGGTCAAGGAGGCGACGGCGCACGCGCAGGCCAAGGTGGTGCAGAACGAGGAGGGCGGCGAGCGGGCGGATGCGCTGCGCCAGGAGGAGGAGAAGAGGCTGACGGAAGACCTCAAGGAGAAGGTGCGCGTCGTCCAGGACCAGTGGCACAGCGCGCTGGGCGAGGGTGTCAAGGGCGTAAAGCAGACTGTGGGCGAGTGGCTCCTGCAGACGGGCGGTTGGGACGAGACGCTCGAGGATGGCGGCGTGGGCAGCGTGTGAAGTGGGAATTGTTAGAGAGGCAGCATGTGCTGCCGTGACGTTTTCGTCTCCTTCATCTGGCTTGACAAAGTTGATACCCCCATTACACGATACATCGAATTCTCTCTATAAATCACAATTGTCATTACCTGATTTCTCATTGGGAAGCTCTCGTCTGGATCATTTTGTTTGTAGATGCAGTTCAGGCTCGACCCCTGCAGCCGCCGTTCCACTGATCATGCTGGTGCCATTTCATACCAGCTCCTGTCATCTCATCTAGATGTTCCTGTCCTCGAGGCATCTGCCGTGGTGTTCTGTTCCCCGGACGTAATGTACAAGGCGTATGTCGTGGTATCACAGTTGTACATGGCGGGGGGGGCCAGTCAATAGGCACCCGCCCGGCTCGTCTGCATCTCTGTCCCCGTCCCATCCCTCTTCCCGCCCACCCCTCCTCCATGGCAATAAAGGGGCCAGGCCCCTGTCCGCTCCCGCACACGGTTTCCTTCATTGCTTGCCAAACTCCTTGGGCAGATCCATGCCGACCCTCCTCGCCGTCAGCCGGACGCGCTCCTCCTCGTCCATGCCCATGCCGGGGTTGTAGCGCTCGAGCAGCGTGGCGTAGACGCGCTGGGCGCGCAGGTAGTCGAGGAACTGCGCGGCCTCGGTGGCGGCGGCGGGGTGCGCGGCGGCGGGCTCGGCGAAGCTGCTGCGGATGCGGGCGTGGATGGGGGATCGGTTGCGGGCGAGGATGGGGCGGGGCGGGAGCTCGCGCAGGAGGCTGCGGTAGAGGGAGCGCAGGGTGGCGGGGTTGGAGGCCATGGCGGTGATCTTTGTGGCTGTCTCTTCTTCGAAGGCTTCTGGCTTCGGTGTTGGCTTGAGGGTGATGGCTTTGGGGAGGTGGTGGTGTACCATGCGGCGGGCTTGTCTTTGGTACGTTTTTGGTCATGTAAAAGCCCGAAGGTCATGCAGGCGGAAAGGATTAGGTGTTGCAGTGCACCGTAACTGCTCTTGTTTGCCCCAATATGGGTACGGCACACTGCAAACACCCCTTCCACCGGCAAGCCACCCCTCTACAACAAGAAGAAACAATTCCGAAAGCTTCATCATTACTAGAGCATATTTGAAGGGCTACGATGCGTCAACCTCATTTCCGAAATTACACTGAAAGAGAGTT